TTAATGCTTATAGAAGTTTCTCTCAGTGCTTTTGAATTTCTTGTTTTTACATTTGAGTCATGATTTGTTAAGTGTTTAACCCAATTCCTGTGTCCAGGAATTTGAAATCAGGTGAAATTTTGCCATTTTCTGTGCTAACTTCTCTGCTTTTTCTGAGAGCAGAGCTGTTCTATCTCAATTCTGCTGAGAATCTCCCTACAGTCCTAAAATAAGAGGAGGGACGGACCACAGGTGGATAAAACCAAATTAGTGTATGAAAAAGAATAATGTTCAAATGCAAGAATAAGCATAACAAATATCTATTTATATCAAAGCATCATAAGAAAGGGATGTTAGTGATGCATTTTAAAAAATTATTCAATAGAGAAAAAAAAATGTCAACTGAGAGATATAGCAAGGCAACTATTTAAATGGAAATTTAAATTTTATTTTTATTTGATGCACTGTTGTTGTGATATTTCCAATGATGGACTGCTTTTCAAAGGTTAAACAGAAAAGTGCACACCAGAAAGAAAAACAGTGCTTGGGAGTAAAAAGCATTAGCCCAGAAAGCTGTCTGCCTTTTCTGGAGAGTAGAGACAAGAGCATTCAGCAGGCACACGTTTGTAAGTGTTGGTTTATGCAGAAGTTTGAAAGGGAGGCATGATCCAGGAGTGGATATGCCCTACTAAATCCCTTATTAAATCTCTCAGGTATAGCAACCTTAATGTTTCACATGGGCAGTTACCTCTTCAGACTGATGCAGAGAAACAGGCTCTCCTGTGACCCATCACCTGTCTTAATCCCTGTCTATGTGATGATAAATTGCTCTCACCAAAAGGGCCTCTATTGTTGATTAAATGTGTGATGAGCATATTTCAGCAGATTGTATTATTTAAAGACTGAAGTTTTTTATGTTTTATTCCCTCATTCTCTTTAGAAATACTGAAAATGTTTTGAGGTAACATTTTTTACCTTAATTTTGAATCCTCAAAGATACTGTGCCAGCTTCTATAGTCAGCTGCATTACAGTATCAGACTGAGGTTGCTGTCACAGTGACACAGAGAACAGAAATCTTGTAAAAGGTAGGAACCTATCTTTCAAAAGTCAGAAGGTCCTGTGATTTATAGCAATATAAGATATGCCCTTACAAAATCTAACTTTGCGTTTCAGGTGCCTTTTTCTAAAAAGATGAGGGTAAAAATGTAAAGGTGAAATTGAGCTAAAAATGAATTCTTTATGCAAATACCGCATTTTACTTTCAAATTCCAAAGTACAATTATCCATCATGTTCCAAAAAGATGGTGATAACTAAAAAAAGCAGATAACAGTTAAATACTGTAGCAGACCAGTTATAGTGAATGCTAAAAAGTACTTTACAAATTCATTCTCAACCCCTTCTGTTCTTTTGATTTATGTGTCATATGACTTCTTAATCTCTAGATTTTATCTTTTTTTTTTTTTGAGATACCCCACTAAGCAGCTTACATTTAAGGGAGAGTGGGAAATAAAATTGGCTTTATTTCTGTACAAGACAGATTGTATCTTCCCCAAAGACTTTTTATGGTAGTTCTTTGCAAAGGATATTACTTTTTCTCTGTGTATACCTGCCGTGTTCATCCAAATTAGTCTTCATGTTATACAAGAAGTTTCTCATTAAAGGTATAGGCAATAACTGTTCACTTTTCCTCCAAAGATTGTTTCAGCAACACAGCAAATCAAAATTATCTAGCAGAATTGTGAAATGAGGAAGCGATGAAGGAAAGCTGAGAGTATGAATAATATCTCTCAAACCTTTCTGGAACAAACAAACAACTTATTTTAGCACAGAAGCATATCAGGTTATCACTGTGTACAAAGATCCAATTCCAATACTGAGGTCAAAAGGCTGTGCACAAATTTGAAAGAAATGACCATACAAAACACAAAACCACATATATTTGCAATTTTCTATATCCATAGTACTTGTAAGAACATCTTACAAAGTTCTAAAATATTTCTTTTCCTGTAATATAGATAGATGATAAATAGATATTTTTTTTAAATAGAAGTAGCACTTACAACATAGACATTTAATCTGATTCCTATTGAAAAGCAGAAACCTGCCCCATTCCAAGTCAGTTAATGGAAGGTGGATTATATTCTGTGTATTTTATCAAGCTATTTGATAGAACCTAATAATTAATGGGTAAAAGAGTTTTCATCAGATAACTATGCCAGCATTAGTAAGAATATCTTTGCAAGTCTATGCTTTACAACTACCTGTAACATTTCCTCAGTGTATAGAATTAAAAAAGACCAGGCTTCACCCTAAAGTTTTCTGAGTTATTTGTCAGTTCCTTATAACTGTAGACAGATACCAGTTTCTCAAGATCTTATTCCTGTAACATTCTGTAGACATTCTGCCTGCTGCACCAGCACCTATAACTGAAGCAGTCATTTCAGCTTACTTAATGTATTTGTGAAGCTACCAGATCCATTATGTGAGGATTCACCATGAACAGAGCTGTTTTAGATGGAAAAAAATTTAAAAACTGTAACTGTTTGCTGTGATGATATCTGTTTTCACTGTGATCACCAGCAAAGACTGCTATATGAACAAAAAAAACAAGAATTATTTTATTGATTTTGTGATGGCCTTTCCACTTACAAGTGGACTTATAACTACAAATATCAAAGTGTTTCCATCAAGAAAAGCAAAACCAGTACATTTCAGTGACTATAGTGTTGGTGAGACTTGAAACAATTGCAGTTTTCACCAGTCAAAATTTAAGATAAATATTTGCTAGCAACTCAGAAGTCTTAAAAAACACCAAAACAATTGTCCCATAACTTCATGAAGCAGGATTAATTTGTGACTAAATGACAATAAAGAACGCTGGCTTGTTAACATTCCAGATGTACAAAGCAAAGTGACTCAGAGTCCCCAGGCAGGTGTAAAGGAGAGCCCTTTATTGCAAAAACCAGGCCTTTTAAAGCAGTTAGCCCATTATCAGTTACACTCCACTTAAGTATAATAAATATAATTCAACCAACCACCATACACCACAATGTGACAATATATATAATTGTCACATTATATATATTACATTATATATATTACTATTATATATATTATAATATTATATATAATTTATATATTATTATATATATATTATATATACATTATATATATAAATTATATATAATTTATATACTATTATATATATACTAGTATATTATATATAATTATTATTATATTACATTATATATAACCATGTTATATATAATGGTTATATAACTTGTTTTTCTGCCCCTAACTGAATTAATTTCCCACAGTCCTTTTCTGCTTAGCTGAAGTAGCTGGCCTGAGCCATGATTTTACAAGAGTAACAAGGCCCTTTATTTTATAAGGTTTTACCTATATGCAACATTCAGTGAGCACTTTCTAATTTTCCACAAGGAGGATATTATCTAGGTCAAGTCCAAATCACACAATTTGCATGATATCGCTATAGCTCTCAACCTTTCCATCATAGTACCATCTCTCTTTCTTGAAATGATTATCTTTTTTCCCTCCACTATTTCTCATGAAATATCATGCAGATGCAGATGGCATCTGAATAAACAAATAAATAAATAGTCAGTGCTCTTTCAGCTGTATTTTTAGTGGTAATTTTAAATGGATAGTTTGTAATCCAGAGAAAAAATATAAAGCAAACCCAGAACAGGAAAGCTGTAGCCAGACAAAAAACATACCACATACTCATTTTCTGCAATACTCATATATTCATATGAATATATGCATATTCAGTGCAATATTTATTCATATTTTCAGTGTAGGAAAGTGTTATCCTGACTGCTAGAGTTTCTCTTTCATGTAATATAGGAGGACAGTGCATACTGAGAAAACTTAGTGCAAAGAAACTCATTTGCTTTATGGCCAAAATATTCTGAATTGTGTACAACAGTACCATAAGAACAGAGATATCAGTTATTATATTATAACTACTTTTTTTCTTCCTAGGTATTACTTTGATCAGTTCTTTCATATTTAAATAATTTAGAGAAACCAACAACAACAAAATTATGCAACTATTTTTTAACATTGTGCAGAAGTTTATATTACATCATCTAAAAATCTGATTTTCAATACAGATACTCAGTCCTTCTTATTCTTGCTTTTTCTCCATTTTATTACTGAAATTGCAAGTAGTGAGAAAGGGCAAGGAAGGAAAAATTAAAATCAATAAAGCAGATATTAATACATGACTCTTTCACTCTTCTGTTTCTTAGTGAGATAAGATTTCAGAATTAAGAACATTTATATCATTTAGTTGTTTCATTAAATGTCTTCTACAGCTCTGTCACCTAAATAGCACTGCATCCTACTTTCCAGAAATATAAGTAGGACAGGTCCTTTGGTCAAAAAGCTCAAATTCAGGCACATATTGAATGTACAGCAGCTGTTTCACCTGCACAAGATTGCACTAACTAGGAAGACACAAGGCTGCAATGGTGTTGGGAGAAGTCAGAAATAATCACTGCCATCTGACTTGGTTAGAAACTCCGTTACAATTCTCCCACGGGGAATCACACTTCCCTACACCTGGGCCAATGTGGATATCCAGGAAGAGTGGCTTTGCAAAGCTGTAGGGGCTTGGCTAAGTCAGGACTCCCTGGAAGACCCATCAGGGCTCTATTAAACCACAAACCAATCTAGAAGGAGATGTGATGAAAATGCAGGTGAATTCACTTTTCCCCCTATTTTTAGTTTTGCTTTTTAGCCCTCAACATTTCTGTTTCAGAAGTCTTTTCAGGAAATACCATCTTGTATATACTATATTCAAGCAGAATAAAAGAAAGGGAGAAAAAAAGCTTCAAAGCAGATTCTGATCTCTTCCCATCATTTAGTGCTGCTGCAAATAAAAAGGTCAAAAGAGAGAAAGAGAAATGCTTCCTACTGTTCTCTTATACTAAAGCTTTTTTATTTATTTTCAAAGAATCAACTGGGAACTGAAATTATTCTTTTTTTTTTCAGTTAGGTGTCAAAAGCCCTCTAGAGAAGAGGTGCAGGTGGAGAAGGATCACTTTTGTCAATGCCTGTCCAAATAACAGCCTGTGAGTAAACCTGTTATCTTGGTTGCTAATGGCTGATAAGCCAATTCCATGAGCCTTGCAAAAGACAAATAGGAAGCAGATATGTCACTTCTGACCCCCACCTTTTTATCTTAACTCATGAAAAGAAGGCTGTTTTAAGGACAAACTTGGAAGGTTTGCTTGATTCTTCTCCTGTCATATACAGTACAAAAGGAGGGAGACAGAGGAAGCATGCAAAAATCTGAATGAAGGGATCTGCCCTTCTAAAACTGTGCTCGTTGGAGAATTGTGTCTTTAAGCATTTAAGCAAAGGCTGGCATTAATCTGTACGTGTGTTTTTGTTGTATGCTAAACTCTTTGCAATAAAAAAGATTATGTTTGGATACTATCTGGAGTCTCAGACTTTCCCCTATTTAATATTAAGAAATTCCCCTACATCCTTTCACTTGGTCTTTCCCTCCTAAAGTTATGTTTATAGCACTGGGATTTATGAAGAGTTTTTTTACAGTTTATTTATATAGTTCTGGGTTTTCTTCCATCTTTGTAAGTTGTGCAGGTCTAGACTAATACCAATTTGCAATGTGAGTCTGAAAACAGAGGTTTATTGGTCTTATCACACAGTGATACTCAGCCTTAAACTCCAATGCCTTTTTGTCTACAAATAGCTACAAACAGCTACAAACATTTATACAAACTGACTTTCAAAATAATATATAAACACACAGTACTTAGCTTTCACACTGTGGAAAACAGGCTTTACAGAAAGGACCATGAAGCTCCTCTGCAAAATGCCAACCAACGTGATTCATCCACCCAGATTACCCAGAGAATGATGATCTGGACCATTGCAGCCAAACACCAGCCTCATCCCAGGGCAGTGCCCCAGCTGGGGTTGTCCCTCCTTCAGGGCTGATGGGGAAATCCCCCCTCCACTTTCCCTTATTACAGCTTTAATCTGCTTCCTATGTAGGACAAGCATAAATATGCTTCCCTGAGAACTGATAAGAAAGTCATCCCAATTAACACTTATCACTGCTTCAAACGGCACTGCAGGGGGAGGGAAAGATTATCTAGAGAGTTCACAACTCTTTATTTTGAGGATAACAGTGATAAACACCTAACAAAAAGGTTAGCTAGCTACAAGTTTATCCTCAACAAAAATGCACCATTATGTTAGCTGTCATATAAAATTCTGAGTATTTATTAGTGATTGTAAACAGACCTAAAACACACATTATAGCAAACAGAAGCTGGCACTGTAAAGAGTTGGACTGCAAGGTTCTTGTGTACTTCCACAGCACATAGCCCTGACACCAAATGGACTCCTATCAAACCTCAGCTTCACTCTATAACAGATTCTGAATTACGATGCTAATTTGTTGCTTATTTCAACAAGGTTCAACCTGTACTTGTTGCAAGGTTTCATGCTGTGTCCCTGAGGGCAGCCCTGACTCTCCCTGGCCTCTCAGGGGCTCTGCACAGCCCTGCCCTGCCAGGACATGGTCCTGCTGAACCAGGCACACTCACAGGACACATCCCCACCCAGCTCAGCCCTTTGCCCAGGGTGGTGCCCGTGGTGTCCCCATGCTCTACCCTGACCCACAGGGAAACCCCAGGGAGCCACCAGCCCCTGGAGGCAGCTGGCAGGGAGGTGTGGTTATTTTGGGTAGGTCCAGTACGCAGGATGAAATTAGCTGAGCATTTCAGGGCTACTTTCTATATGATCCAAAGAGGAAAACATAATTTTCTTATATTTGCTGGCAATCTTCCCAGCTGAATAGATGAAGACATTTTTTCAGTATTTTTTTAAATACTGTGACCTCCAGGAAAACTTCCATCCCACTGAAGAAGCACATGGCCAAGAAACTAACAAGTGTAGGCTTCCTTAGTTTTTAATTCTGTCCCCAGAAGATCCCATAAGTTTATTGTTTGATTTTAGTTGACATTTTTTGCTGCAATCACACTTTTTTTTTTTTTTTAACGTAATTATACAGCTCACTTGGATCATGCAAATTTTTGTACATAATTCAATAGAAGTCCCTATTTGGGACTAAGATATACCATATTCATCACTTTGAAAGACCAGGACTATACACATAATCCAAGCCTCCCACCCTAAAACAACCAAAAAATCAAGAGCCAATGAAAGGAATTATAGGAGAACAATTTTTTTCACTTCAGTCTTTTGCATTTAACATAATTAATTGTTCATTCTTTAAAGCTGTCTCCTGAATGAATTACTTCATAGACACAGTGGGTACTTGAAAAGTCCCCTAACACTTCTAATATTCCTAATGAGCAGAATTTTCTGCATTAACCATTCCCCATCATTGGCTGGAAAATCTAAACTAAAGTAGGCCAGGGCAAGACATATAGAGCTTGGCAGTCTTCAAATCTCTGGTGAACTATTTCTGGGAGTGCTAATTACGATGCAATAGTGAGAGCAGGAGCTGCTCATCACTGCTGAAGCACAAGTCAGCGTTTGTAAATGGTTCACCCTGACAGCTGTCTGCTATCTGCACTCCAAAGAGTCCCTTTTAATGGACTAAAACCTATCTAAAAGGAAATCTTTTTCCCTTTTCCCATCATAACAGTTAAATGTTTAACTGTAAAATGTTAAATTAGTCTTGTCTGCTCGTCCCACACTGGTTTATATGGTGGTACATACATTTACCATAGCTGCATGTTTGCCTAACTCATTCATCAACAAACAAGGGAAACACAAAAACAAGTGTTCCAAGAGGCATCTAGGAATAGTCCATCCTTACAGCATTCTTAACCATATTGTTGGACTGGTTCACATTGCTTTCTATGCCATGATTTTTTTGTTTCTCATATATATTGTGGATACATGTTAAAAAAAAAAAAAAATTTTTTTTTTTTTAATATATACTCTCAGAAAGGAAAAGTTTTGTTTTGGGGTTTTTTGTAGCTAGATTAAAAAGTTAGTAGCAGAGTCACAGTTGGATGAAGTTTGGTTAAAAAGACAATTGATTATTGAAGAATTTATAGTTAAGAGTGATAACATGAAAAGTGTCACTCTAGAGGAGTTGAAAAAAGAAAAAAAAACCATGCTAATCTTAAGCAGTATCCATCAATGACTAGGTGGTATTTGATATTCATTAAAGAGGGAGGTAGCTCATAATATTTAACTGATGAATGATTAAACTAACAATGAAGTGTTAGATTGACATTTCTGTGATTGGAAAAACTTTTAACTGGAGGCAAACCAATTTACTATACAGTAAATTGAACGATCTAAGAGGAAAATTAATTGCTTCAATGGTCATTGTATAAGGGATTTCATTAATCTTTTTGTTCTTGGTTTTGTTTTCAATAAATATCTTATTTTTCTGACAAAGTCTGATATACTGAAAAAGAGACTGTCCTGCCATCTGTAAAATAAATATTATGAAGAATAAGCAGGAAATTAAAGTTTGTTCTACCATTTGCTTTATGGAGTCACAGTTAACCACTGCTAAACAGAAATTAACATCTGTCATCTTAAAAGTCATTGGCCACTGCAGATATGAAATAAACTTTGTGTTTCATTCATATATCTTGCAAGTTACCTGAGAAACATATGGAGTTATTTACAAGAGGGAATGACTGCAGAGCTTTGATTGTCATGGTTCTTGTGTTTTCAGTACAACCTTCTCCCAGGAAATGGAAGAAGGTGGTTCCTGGCTGTATCTGCCAAACTTCAATATATGTAGACAACATGCAGCATTACATAATTTGCAACATTAAAGAAGAAATATAGAGGTGAAGATATTGTGCAAGATGTCAGAATGAAAAAGAAGTTTGAAGCTTTATATCCTTTCAAAGTGGGAAGACAAAAGAACAAGCAATAAAACTGAGAGTTCAGAAATTCCTGAATTTGACCTAGCTCTAATTCCATTAAATCCTTTGCTGGTAGTCTCAATGAGAATAGAAGTAAACAAATAAGCACTTAGAGCATAGCCTGGTGACTGGCATGGAGAAAACATAGATCAACAGAGATCATATGTCCTCTGTCTTTTCTAATCAAAAATCCTTAAATATCAAATTAAGCCATTTTATTTCAGGTTAAAAAGACCCTAAAAAGATATTTTTAATTCATGCAATTAAGCTAAGTTACTTTGGTACTATAGGATGCTGAAGAAGCAAATCTTTATGTCTGGACAGCATCACAGCAGAAAGTATATCAGAACTATTAAGCACAAAAACAACACCTTTCACTTCAAACACTCACTCTCACCCCTTTTATAAACTGTGGAAGTCTGGGAGAACAGTTCAGTAAAATATTATCATCTTATTGACTATATCTTTTTTTTATCAAAAGTTATCAGACATTCAGAAAAGAACATATCTTCAGTTTAAAAAAAAAATAACTGTGTTTGGGCAACACAAAACACTTAAAGATTGCAACTCACATATTCTTACAGACTGTAAACTGAGAATCAAAGACACTTGGTATTCCTGTAGTCAGAAATAAGAAGGAACTGCAATTTTACATGCCTATAATGTCACTAGATGCTTGAATAGTTAGGAAAAAAGACAACACCTTGTTCCATCAACTTCAAGACAATCTATTCTGGAATGCAATAGATTTCTCTGGCCTGGAGATCTATACTTTCCCTTTGTTTTAAGGGTACATATCACTAAAAAAATTGTTCCATTCCAGACATGTAGCAATAATGTAATTGAAATGGCTAGTGCCCTTGTAATAGACATCAAGTAATTCACTTGTTTTTACTTTATGATCCACAGTTTTGTCTGACATAAGGTGGCAAAAATAACAGAATAATGCTTTCAAACCATTACCAATAAAATATTTGGACTTGCAACATGGGGAACACCTTAGTTGTGCTCTTGTCAGGAGATGGAATTAAAAGTAGCCTAGTACGGGGTCAGATCAATTTTAGAAATGCATGCTTTGAGAACCTATACTGTGCTGATGTAATGACAGATAAATGACTAATTTCATATTCCAATGAAATTCTGCATAAAAAATTTCAACTGGTCTGAATTTTGTGATTAATCAGATTTCTTTTACTTTAAACTATTTCAGCAAAACAACATCAATTATGAAAACCTTCTGAAGAAGTACAAGCAGAATATATCTCAGCTTTTCCTTGTTTCATGACAGCTCAACTGAACCACCAAAGAACTAAACATAGTCAATTCTGCTAAATAGAAGATGACCAACCCATGACCCTGAAATCAAGTGGCAAGAACTGATTCCCCTCCGTGCTTGTTAAAGTTGGTCTTGTGTAAGGCAAACTGCCCATGTGTGTCCTGAGAAGCACTCTGTCTTGAATCTCCCCTGGGTCCTTTGTGCTCTATTTGACAAAATTAGTATTTTTTTCTGGAAATATGGGACGTGAGGTTTTATGGGTTACTTGAGTATACAGTGCTGTCGAGAGAGAGCTGGAGGGCTGCCTAAGGGAGAAAAAGCCAAGACTGGTGGCATTTTCTCGGTACCCGTCTGGGTAACCTGGGATCAAACTGCTGGGAAGAAGACCTTGACAAACCTGCTCTGACTTACCAACTTGATATACTTTAGCCTTGGACCTGTCATGTCACTACAGATTTGTTCAGCTGTGTGGGCTCACCCTGGCTGGATACCAGACACCCACCAAAGCTTCTCTGTCTCTCCCCTCCTCAGCTGGACAAGGGAAGGAAAATATAATGAGGGGTTCATGAGATGAGGGTAGGGAGAGATTACTCACCAAATACTATCACGGGGAAATTGGATTTAAATTAGAGATATTTCATTTTTTACCAAGAAAATCAGAGCTGGATAATGAGAAGTAAAATAAGGCCTTTAAAGCCCCCTACCCCCCACCTCTCTCTCTTTCTCAGGTCTGCTTCCTCTTCCTGGAGGTGCAATGATACAAGGTATGGAGGTGACAGTCAGTTCATCACATGTTGTTTCTGCTGGTGCTCAGGAAGAGGAGTCCTTCTCCTGCTCCAATGTGGGGTCTTTCCCATGGAGACAGATGAACTTCTCCTGTGTGAGTCCATCCCATGGGCAACAGTCCTCCCCAGAAAGCTGCAGGCTGGGTCACTTTTCTATGAGGTGCAGTTCTTCAGACACAGCCTTCAGACACTCCAAAGTGTGGAGTTCTACCAAGTAACCTGCTCCCTTACGGCGTTGTCTCCCCGTGGCTCTGTGGATCCCTGCCAGGACCCTGCTCCAGCATGGACCTCCCCCAGGGTCATAGTCTCCTCTCTGGCATCCACCTGCTCTGGTAGGGGAGTCCTCCATGGGCTGCAAGTGGAGCTCTGCATTCCTGTTGACCTCCATGGGCTGCAGGGGCTCAGGTGCTTCATCATGGGCTTCACCACAGGCTGCAGGGGAATCTCATCTCCAGCACCTGGAGCATCTCCTGCCCCTCTTTCTCCACTGACCTGATGTCTGCAGAGCTCCTCACATATATTTTTACTCCCCTCTCCTCTGGCTGCAGTTACATCTGCTTGATAACTTTTTTCTTATTTTAAATGTATTAGCACTGAGGCATTACCACCATTTCTGATTGGCCCAGTCTAGACCAGAGGCACATTGTCTTGGAGTTCTCAGGGATTGGCTCTGTCAGACACAGAGAAAGCTTTAGGCTGCTTCTCACTGAAGCCATCCCTGTAGCTGCCCTCACTACCAAAACCTGGTCACACAAACTGAATATATCAGCAGTCTAGGGTGGCTAACAACTTTGCCCTCATTTTCTTACGTGCATACTGTGGGAGCAGACTCTGGTTGCCACTGCCCATTTGCCTTGCTCTCACCCTTGGCTTCCCATTCCCTTTCCCTCCCAGAGCAGCTGACTTTTGCTGCTCTAGGTCCCCTGTGGCCCCTCCACTACTACGAGAACCTTGCTGTGCAAACCCAGTACATGGCTCTCAACATGAGGGCAGGATGAAACCAGTCCTGGCTATTTCTGCTATTTTCAAGGTATCAGTTCCTGGATAGACAGGAAGAAATGTAGAAGCTGTTAGAGCACAGATGTGAATTAGGGATATAATTTGGGTTTATAATTTTTATCACTAAGGTAATGTTCTAAGGTGATAATTTATCATGGTGAATCCCGTCACCAGGATTCAAAAAATTTGAGTTATTTTGAGTGATCTGAGACTCCAAAAGTGCTCATCTCCCAGTTCTCCTTTGCTTTGCTGGTGCTGACATTGAGACAGGCATCTGGAAGGCCCTGAATGGATTGAAAACACACTGAGACCTTCCCACCATTCTCATCCAGAGAATGCTTGTATAGAGCAAAATACTGTATAAGTGCATAGGATCAGTTAATCCTATCATCATAGCTGATTACTAGATAGGTGAAATTTGGTTTGATGACCAACAGCACTGTAGATGAACTTGGAATAAATAAATAATACAACATGATAATTCTTTTTCTTAAATAAAAATTAATTAATTATTTGAATAAATTATTTGGAAAACATTATTAGCACATTTCTAACTAAGGTTATAGAGATTTTTCAGCACAATAATTCTTTCTCCTTGACTAACAGGCATTCTTTAGTCAAGAATAATTTTCATTTACATATATACTAATATGCTATTTTATATGTAAATATACTATTCATTTTATATATATACTGAAAAGATTAAATGGGATTAAATGAGAGTTTAACAGATATTGTATCTCAAATAAAAATATAAATTAAAACTGAAATCCAAAATCTGAGTTTGTTTAATAAAAAGCATGGCAGAGAGAAAGCATTGTGTCTTGGACTCAGTGAAACTTCTGGGTCCTTTCCAACTCAAGATTTTCTATGATTCTATGGTTTCACACCAAAACTTTTAGAACATTTATATTCTATAGTATTTAGTCTAAACATTGTGTAGAAATACATTTTATTACTATTTTTAAATAGTATTTTATATATTTTTAAATTGTAGTACAAAATCATGAGTTCTCATAACTATAACATTTCTTAATTAGTCTATAAATAACACTTTAGCAGCAGTAATATAATTTAAAATTATATTTTTAAACAGTTAATAAAAGGTGCACCATTATTCAAAATAACAATATAAAAGCCACAATTGTCTCATTCCAGGTAAAGTGAAGAAAAAATGTTTAAAGCCTAATAATGCCTGAAGTAAAAAGCCTCAGTGGTCACTACTTGAAGAGTACTGAGGTACACTTTTACACTTCACTAAACTTCACTTTAAGCTTCACTAATATTAACAGTCGTAATGTACTAAGCATAGCCTATGAAATTAAGATGTTTAGTGCAGCAGCCAGTGCAAGATTTTTAAAAAAGCTATGATGTAATAGGGAAAACATGGGGGTTTTGTGCAGACAGAGCTTTTATCACATCTATATTGCATTGTAAAGTTTAGTCAGTTCAGGTGTGCAGTCACTAAGAATGCACAGGTCTGTCACTGATACACCAGGGCACTGAAATCACATGACACAAGTTTGAAAATGGCTTGTGTCAGAAGAAAGAGATGGCTGTCTTTTTTCTGCTGTAATATTTTCCATCAGAAAATGCCATTTCAGCAAATCCAATTCATTCTACAAGAATAGCTATTTAATTGACACATATCTAAGAACTATATTAATAATCTGTTTCAATAAGGTCAAAAATTGGATAATTTTGACTTCTATATTAATGTATGCAATCATTTTGTCAATAAAATCAACGCAAAATATTTCAGCCTTACCAAACCAAACATTTAAATATACCTAAGCAGAACCTTTTAATAAAACCAAATGAAAGGTTTTCAGTTTTTCAGATTGCTACTTTTAAATTCCATATTTTTAATTACTTCTGGTTCAGCAAATGCAACTGTCAAATATTAGAAGTGTTGTACTTTAAGAAAACATTACTCTGATGAACTATGTCTAGAGGAGAAAAAAATGA